AAGCCCAAGAGTTTGAGGTTGCTGTGAACTGTGATGCCATAGCACTCTACCCAGGGCGACGTAGTTAGACTCCATCTTGAAAAAAAATAAAAAAGAAAAATCAGTGACTTGGGCTTTTTCAGTCATGATGGTCTTGAACTAAATCTTCAAGAACTTCCCAGTCTCAAAGGAGGAAAGGAGAAAAATTCAACAACATCTCAAGGATTAAGAATAATTCCACTCCACCCAAGAGAAATGAAAGCATATTTCCATACAAAGGCTTATATGCAAAAGTTTATAGCCACTGTATTGGTACTCACCAAAAACTGGAAACAACCATCAAGGAATGAATAAATAAACTGTAAGTCATCCACACAATGGAATGGGACTCCACAATAAAAGGGAACACGTTGCTAACACGTGCAGCAACACAGATGAATCTCAAATGCATTGTGCCGAATGAAAGAAGCAAACCCAAAATGCTACGTACTATATGATTCCATCTATATATTATTGAAAACGTAACACCTTATAGGGACAGAAAAGAGATCAGTGGTTACCAGTGGCTGAGGGGTTGAGGAAGGGAATGATCAAAAGGGCATGAAAGAATCTTCTGGATGATAAAACTGTTGCAGATCAGCGGGCACAGTGGGTCACGCCTGTAATCCTAGCACTCTGGGAGGCCGAGGCCGGTGGATAGCTTGAGCTCACAAGTTCAAGACCAGCCTGAGCAAAAGTGAGACCCCCATCTCTACCAAAAATAGGAAACAATGAGGCAAGAGGATCACTTGAGCCTGAGTTGGAGGTTGCTATGAGCTATGATGCCACGGCACTCTACCCAGGGTGACAGCTTGAGACTCTGTCTCAAATAAATAAATAAATAAATAAACTGTTATAGATCTTGGTTGTGGTGCTGCATATGTTTGTTCTCTTTAAAAGATTTAATTTTAGTGCACATACATTATATTGCAAATCTCATTTTAAAAATGAATAATTTGGGGAAAATGAGAAAAAAAAAAGAATTGAAGCCATCAAAGATTTCTTTTTCAGCTTAGCACCGGTAGCTCAGCAGCTAGGGCACCAGCCACATACACTGGAGCTGGTGGGTTTGAACCCAGCCTGGGCCTGCCAAACAACAATGACAACTACAACCAAAAAATAGCCAGGCACTGTGGTGGGTGCCTGTAGTCCCAGCTACTTGGGAGGCTAAGGCAAGAGAATCGCTTAAGCCCAAGAGTTTGAGGTTACTGTGAGCTATGACTGATGCCATGGCACTCTACTGAGGGCGACAAAGTGAGACTCTGTCTCAAAAAAGAAAAAAAAAGGATTTCTTTTTCATAAGATAACTCATTTTTGTCAAAATGCTGAGAAATGGGTCACCTCACAGCAGTCAGAATAGCTACTACCAAAAAGTTGAAAGATAACAAATATCGGTGAAGATGTGGAAACAAGGGACCTCTTACACACTATTGGTGGGAATTTAAATTGTTACAATCACTGTGGAAAATGGTGGTACACATAAATGCATCAATGTACAAAGTCATGATTTAATAAAAAATAATTAAAACAAAAAAGAAAGAACATGGTGTGGAAGCTCCTCAAAAAACTAAAAATAGAACTACTATGCAATCCAGCCATCCCACTGCTGGGTATATATCCAAAGGAATAGAAATTTGCATGTCAAAGAGCTATCTTCACTAACTTCACTCCCATATTCATTGCAGCATTATTCACCATAGCCAAGATATGAAATCAACATAAGTTGATCCATCAATGAATAAATACATACAATGTGGTCCATATTCACAATGGAATAGTATTCAGCCTTTAAAAAAAAAGGAGATTCTATCATTTGTGGCAATATGCATGAACCTGGAGGACATTATGCCAGGCACACATAAGACAAACAAATAACTGCATGATCTCATGTGGAATCTGAAAAAAACTTATAGAAGCAGATAGTAGGGGGTTACCAGGGACTAGGGTGTTGATGGAGGAAGGCAAGTAGATATGGTGGTGTTGGTCAAAGTATACGAAGTTTCAGTTGGACAAGAAGAATTGAGTTTCTGAGATTTATTGCACAGCCAGGTGACTGCAGTTAATAATACTGTTGCATATATTTCAAAATAGCTAAGAGAGGGGCTGCGCCTGTGGCTCAAAGGAGTAGGGCTCAGCATGCTGGAGGTGGCGGGTTCAAACCCAGCCCCGGCAAAAAAAAAACTGCAAAAAAAAAAAAAAAAAGCTAAGAGGATAGGCCAGGCATGGTGGCTAACACCTGTAATCCTAGCACTCTGGGAGGCCTAGGCGTGAGGATTACTTGAGCGCAGGAGTTGGGGACCAGCCTGAGCAAGACTTAGGCCCCATCTCTACTAAAAATAAAAACAAATTCAGGGCATCGTGGTGGTTGCCTGAAGTCCCAGCTATTCAGGAGGCCAAGATAGGAGGATCACCTGAACCTAGGAGTTTGAGGTTGCGGTGAGCTGGGCTGACACCACAGCACTCTAGCCTGGAGCAACAGAGTAAAACTATCTCATAGAAAAAAAAAAAAAGGTGAATTTTTTTTGTTTGTTTGTTTTTTGCAGTTTTTGGCCGGGGCTGGGTTGGAACCTGCCACCTCCGGCCTATGGGGCCAGGGCCGTATTTCTTTGAACCACAGGCACCGCCCAAAAGTGAGTAGGTTTTAACTCACCAATTAAAACTAATTAAGAAAATACACGGGACACCCAAGTCCACTGACACATCATTCCCAATAAACAAAGAGTGGGAGCACCTCCAAAGGCCACTGGGGAATGAATGAATAGAGAAAAGGTAATACATCCATAATAGGAATATTATTCAGCCTTAAAGGAAAGTTTGACATGTGCTAGGGCATAAATAATGTCAATGAATGAGTGAATAAGTAAATAAAAAGTGAGCGAGTGATTCGTTCTTTTATTTATTTATTTATTTGAAACGGTCCCACTCAGTCACGCAGGCTGCAGTGCAGTAGCGTCATTATAGCTCACTCCAGTCTCCAATTTCTGGGCTCAAGCATCCTCCTGCCTCAGCCTCCCGAGTAGCTGGGACCACAGACGCACGCCACCTGGTCTGGCTAATTTTTCCATTTTTAGCACAGATGGGACCTAGTTCTTGTTCGGGCTACGAGTGACAAATATTAACCCTTATCGCCACCCATCTTCCCAGCTCCAATAACGTCCTTGCCCTGCCTGGCTGTTTCGCCTCACCCGCGCGCCCCCTGCCGGTGCACGGCTCGCTCAGGCCCAGAAAGAATCACAGCCTGGGCCGGCCTAGCCTCTATTCTCGCTTCTGATTGACTCCGCTTTGTTCGCAAAGCCTTTTGGGAAATGTAGTCCGTTGTGGTGAGAGGCCCGTGCCTCCTTTCCCTTTCCGCTCCGGTCAGCTACAGGAAGTACGTCAACAAATTTCCCCCATGTCCCACAAACTAAAGAGTGCAGTGTTGAATGAAGGGCATTGTAGTCCTCGGATGCTAGCTTACGCTGTCATCCGCTGCTATTGGAACGGCAATTCCCACCATGCAGCGCGCTCGCAAGTCGCTTTGGCCGTCCTGCGGCCCTCTGGGAAATGTAGTCTTTAGGCTTCATCATTCCTTCTCCGTCCTAAGGGCTGCGCCTCCGTAGAGGAACCCATTTCCCGGCGTGCTTCCATCTGCCGACGGCGCCGGCTTCTGGCGCCATTTTGCTCCGCCGAGAGGCCCTAAGATGGCGGCGAGGGAGAGGGTGAAGGTTGCCATCCACCCGGCAGGTCTGTGATCAGCTGTCTCTCCCTGTCTCCCGACAGCCGGTCCATGGCCTGGCGGAGGCCCAAACCATGGACCTCCGCACCGCCGTGTACAATGCCGCGCGCGACGGCAAGCTGCAGCTGCTCCAGAAGCTGCTTAGCGGCCGGAGCCGGGAGGAGCTGGACGAGCTAACCGGCGAGGCGGCTGGCGGGGGTACGCCGCTGCTCATCGCCGCCCGCTACGGCCACCTGGACGTGGTGGAGTACCTGGTGGACCGCTGCGGCGTTAGTGTGGAGGCTGGTGGCTCGGTACATTTTGACGGGGAGACCATCGAGGGCGCGCCGCCGTTGTGGGCTGCCTCCGCCGCCGGCCACCTGGACGTGGTCCGGAGCCTGCTGAGCCGCGGGGCCTCGGTGAACCGCACCACGCGCACTAACTCCACGCCCCTTCGTGCAGCCTGCTTTGACGGGCACCTCGAGGTGGTGCGTTACCTGGTGGGCGAGCACCAGGCCGACTTGGAGGTGGCCAACCGGCACGGGCACACCTGCCTTATGATTTCCTGCTACAAGGGCCACCGTGAGATCGCCCGTTACCTGCTGGAGCAGGGAGCTCAGGTGAACCGGCGCAGCGCCAAGGGCAACACCGCCCTGCACGACTGCGCCGAGTCTGGCAGCCTGGAGATCTTGCAGCTGCTGCTGGGCTGCAACGCCCGCATGGAACGCGATGGCTATGGCATGACCCCGCTGCTTGCTGCCAGCGTGACAGGACACACCAACATCGTGGAGTACCTCATCCAGGAGCAACCTGGCCAGGAGCAGGCTGCCGGGGGAGAAGGCCCTTCCCGCAGCCAGGGGTGTGTGCAGTCTCAGGGGGCTCAATGTCACAGTTCCTCCCCGGATGAACCACCAAACGGTGAATCTTATGAAAGCTGCTGCCCCACCAGCAGAGAAGCTGCCGTGGAAGCCTTGGAATTGCTGGGAGCCACATATGTGGATAAAAAGCGAGATCTGCTTGGGGCCCTCAAACACTGGAGACGGGCCATGGAGCTGCGTCATCAGGGGGGCGAGTACCTGCCCAAACCAGAACCCCAGCAGCTAGTCCTGGCCTATGACTATTCCAGGGAGGTGAACACTACTGAGGAATTGGAAGCCCTGATAACCGACCCGGATGAAATGCGCATGCAGGCCCTGTTGATCCGGGAGCGTATCCTAGGCCCCTCTCACCCAGATACTTCCTATTACATCCGTTACAGGGGTGCGGTATACGCTGACTCTGGCAATTTTGAGCGCTGCATCCGCTTGTGGAAGTATGCCCTGGATATGCAGCAGAACAACCTGGAGCCTCTGAGCCCCATGACCGCCAGCAGTTTTCTCTCCTTTGCGGAACTCTTCTCTTACGTGCTACAGGACCGGTCTGCCAAGGGAGGCCTGGGCACACAGATCGGCTTTGCAGATCTCATGGGAGTGCTCAGCAAAGGTGTCCGGGAAGTGGAACGGGCCCTACAGATGCCTAAAGAACCTGGGGACTCAGCCCAGTTTACCAAGGCTCTGGCCATTATCCTCCACCTGCTCTACTTGTTGGAGAAAGTGGAATGCACACCCAGCCAGGAACACATGAAGCACCAGACCATCTACCGCCTACTCAAGTGTGCTCCCCGTGGCAAGAATGGCTTCACTCCTTTGCACATGGCTGTGGACAAGGAGACTACAAATGTGGGCCGCTACCCAGTGGGAAGATTCCCCTCCCTCCACGTGGTCAAAGTGTTGCTTGACTGTGGTGCTGACCCAGACAGCAGGGACTTTGACAACAACACCCCACTGCACATAGCAGCCCAGAACAACTGCCCCGCAATCATGAACGCCCTGATCGAAGCAGGGGCCCACATGGATGCCACCAATGCCTTCAAGAAGATGGCCTATGAGCTGCTGGATGAAAAGCTGCTGGCCAGGAGCACCATGCAGCCCTTCAACTACGTCACCCTGCAGTGCCTTGCAGCCCGAGCCTTAGACAAGAATAAGATCCCCTACAAGGGCTTTATCCCAGAAGAACTGGAGGCTTTCATTGAACTGCACTGACCTGCCCAGAGTTTGCTTCCTTGGAGGAGTCTCAATGGTGTGTGGCAGATTCTTGTTTTTGCCTTCTCTAAACAGGCAGCAAATCAGGATAAGGGCTCTTCCCCCTCTTGTCCCCTTTGCCTGCAGGCAGAGGGGGAGGACTTAGTGAGCTGTTGGTGCTAGAAGCCTTCATGATCACGTGCTAGGAGGACTTTCTCCAGAGGCCCACCCTTCCATCCTGAATTGGGAAAAGATGCAAGACCTTCCCTGTATCCTGTCTACCTGGGTTTTAGCAGCCTTTGCCTTCTTACCTAGAGGCAGAAGGACAAAAGCCATTGCCTTCCTTCCCTGATAGAAATGCAAGAAGAAGTTGAGAATTGATCTGCCCTCCCTTGCCTCTTATGTGGCTGGATAAATCCAGCTGCCAAATACAGTATTAGCACTGGGAGCTCCCAAGGTCAAGAGTTTGAAAATCAAAATGCAAGACCACCTCTTATTTCTTACAGCACGTTAATGCCCTGCTCTTGCATCACCACAGTCATGGGTGTGCAGGCAGGGCTTTGCCCAGGGCAGCCTGCCTTTTGCATAGCATTCATTTGGTTTGGTGTTCTGTTTATTTAATAAGCAGGGTTACAAGCATTGCACAGAAGTTCTGAGATTTTATTGTGTTTTTTTTTTAAGAATTTTATTTGTCTGACTCCAATATAAGTTAATTTCAAGCAATGAGAGTTTTGTAGTGCCTGAGATGGCTAAGGGCACAGGGAGTGAGCTTTATTCTGCAGAGAATTTGGTGAGTGAGGGAAAAGTCCATAGTAGGGATCCCTATAATGTGGGTGGTCTTAGGTTTTTGTAAAACTTCACTGTTCTGCCTTTTACAGGCCCCCTAACTTCTTTTAGAGGACTGTTCTCTTTCAAGAACTGTTCTTCAGAACAAAGATCAGGGTAAGTGCCAAAAGAGTGACAACAAAGCTTCACAACAGTTTGCCACCCAGCAAGCACTAGCATGGTTGGTTTGAGTCTGGATTGCAACCGTTTCTGAGTTCCAACTAAAGGCCACTCAGCCTAACAGATCTCACACAGTTTCTCTCATTTCGTTGTGGGCATATCCACAAGTGGCCTGACCCATTTTTTTTTTTTGTGGGGGCGGGGGTTTATAGGCTGTTCCACCAAGGACCTGAATCTAAGTCTTCCTAAGAAAGGCCCAAGCACAGCACTAACTCAGTACATCTGATAGCTAAGATGCTGAGTGTCAAGAACAACCTGCCAATTGAGGTTTGTATAAAGTCTCATTGTCTCATAACTCAGGGTGGTGCTAGAGAATCTGCCCCGGCAAGATTTTTCTCAGGAACAAGATCACACGAGCCCTGGTAGGCAGGAGCAGGTTCTTCATCTGTGTGGAGAGCAGCAAATAACAGAAGCAGAGCAACTGCGCCTTTTGGCTCAGGAGTAGTCTCCTGAGTCTCGTTCAGGAGAGGAGAATCCTGTCTCTCTGCCTCCCTCTCATGTGGCAGCCACAGACAGGCCCTCAGGAGCAGTGTCAGTGGGCACCCCAACATCCTACTCCTTGAAGGAAACTAGGCCTTGTTTGGATTTGCGGTGTTTGTTAGGAAATTATTTATTTACAAGACAAGGTTTCAAGTTAATTCAACCAAGGCAGGAAAGGCAGTTCCTGTCCCTTTTGAAGCACAGAACAAAGAAATGAGACCATGTAAATTGTGAGTCTCTGTGCTGATATTTAAGTCATTAAAAAGAAGATATTTGAAGAGAATGGCCTGGCCTACTGGGTCCTTGCTGTGGGTAGATTGGGGGGTTGAGGGTGGGAATACAGGTGTGTGGGAAAGTCCATGGTAATGGCCTGGGTGAAAAATGAGCTGTAGAGCCACCCTGTCTACTTAGAGGAGTTTGTCTTGTATATTAGAGCTTTGTGTAAGATTTACTTTAGCAGATGGTGTATTATTGCTTTAAAAGAAAAAAAAAGTGTGAACTCCTGCTTTGGGGTAGGATTGCCACAGGAAGAAAAAGATGGTGTGACCCTCCTTTAAGGCAGAGGAGAGTGAAATTACCTGGAAAGCTCCCTCACAAGAGGCTGGAGCCCAAGGAGGCAAGATAGGGATGTGGGGGCAAGGGTCTGGTGTGTTGGTCAAAGGGCACCTGGAATCCAATGAGACCTGTTGGTGGAGCCAGTGTCTTCTCATGAACTTCATGAGTTTCTTAGAGCCACTTCAGACTAAGGAAGAAAGTCTTCCCTCCTTTTCCTTTGTCTGCTTGCTTACCTCCCTATGTAAACTTTTCACATTTGAAAATTCTGCTTTTCTCCAAAAAGCATCACCCCATTACTTGGTTTGGCAGATTTCTTCTGAGCCCCCTTAAGGATAATGATTGAGTTGGTGATACCTGAGATGTGAACATCTCCCAGAGTTTTTACCTTGTGTCACAGTAGGGAAAGGCCCTGGTGTAGGGACATTCCCCTTCTGGTGTCATTGGGGTTGGGGGAGCTTGTTCTCCATCTCCTGGTTTCGTGCATCTGCCATCTGGTTTCTTTTGAGGATGGACGACTTGCAGGTGGTGCCTGTTCCTTTGGGGGAGTGACTGTCAGTATTGCATTGAAGGAATGGATTTTAGGCCCCAATTTCAGTTCTGTGGAGACAGATGAACACCAGGCTGAGAAGGGCAGCAAGTTGAGGGAGTGGCTTCCGCATTGGAAGATGCTCTCAAAGCAATCTCCTAGGCACATAGAATGCTAGTGATGATTTTTTGAGCTCTTGCCGTATGCTGGGCACTGTTCTCCATGCTTAAATGTGCTGTCTTGTCTGTACAAGCCCTCCATAGTAGTTGATATTATTATTCCTCTTTGGAAAGTTGTGGAGAGCCAGGGCTATTAGGAGAGGTTAAAGTACTTGGCTAAGGATGACATAAAAGATGTGCAAGAAGAGCTGAGATCTGAACTCAGGGCTGTCAGACTCCACCTGTCGTTCTAACTGTCCATCTTGAGGGGAAACATGAAATGGACGCACATCTGAGAAGATGGAACCTGGGTCCCCTTTGTCCTGCTTTTTGGTATTGCCTTGGCTCTCCCATCCATGGGGCAGGTGCTCATCCTGCTTCAGCAGCCCTTATGAAGTCTGTTAGAATTACTGCTCCATGAACCCAAGCAAATCTCTCCATGAGGAATAATTATCTGCACTGAATGCTTTCTTTAAAAGCTAAGACTTGAGGGCGGCCCCCCGAAGCTCAGTGGGTAGGGCACCCACCACATACCCTGAGGCTGGCAGGCTCAAACTTGGCCTAGGCCTGCTCAAACAACAATGACAACAACTGCAACAACAACAAAAAATAGCTGGGCATTGTGGCCGCTGCCTATAGTCCCAGCTACTTGGGAGGCCTGAGGCAAGTGAATCGCTTAAGCCCAAGAGTTGGAGATTGCTGTGAGCTGTGACGCTACAGCACTCTACTGAGGGCGATATAGTGAGACTGTCTCAAGAAAAAAGAAAAAAAAAGCTTGAGAATTGTGACTATAGCCTCCTTCCTTCTAATGAAGGCCATCTTAAAGCTCTAGCAAGTTTCAGGTCAGGATTGATCCAGTAGATCAAAATTGTTACTCATGACCTGGTTGATTAGCTTCCCTCAGACTGATGGGGTATCCCAAGATAGTAGCCCACAGAATCAGCTACAATGGGAGGAAAGAGCATCTTTCTCCCAGGCGGAATCCCAGGGCTCACTCTTGACTGGACTGGCGTGAGTCACATGTCCTTCCTGGAAACAATAGCAGAGCCCAGAGGTAGAACTGCAGATTGGCCTGCGCCAAGTCACTGTGGGTGGATTGGGGGAGGTGCCCACCACCGTAGAGGGTAAGAAGTTCAAGTGAAATGGAGGTTGCTGTAAAATGGAATTAATGCTATAGAGGATAGTAAAAAAAATGTCTCCAATAATGAGGTTACTACCTTCAATTTATCAAAGAAGAGAGAAACTTGAGAGGTCAAGTGGCCTGCTCAAGGCCATATAACAAATGGCCTGTGTCATTTATAGGTGAGCAAGCAGGTCTAGGGAGGGGAATGGGTTTGCCAGGCTTACCTGGCCGGAAGCATAAAAATCAGAGCTTAAACTCAAGCCAAAGGGTGTCAGAGGTAGCAGCCCACACTCACCAGCACAGAAGCCACTCTCTCAACTTGCTGCCCCTCTCAGCCTGCTGTTCATCTGTTTCCACAGAATGAAGTTGGAGCCTAAAGTTCTTCCATTCATTTGTTCATCTACTTAGGCAATGCATTACCCAGACCCTCAGGAGCCTTATGAGGGTCTTGGCTACTGCTGTGTCCTTAGTAGCCAGGCCAGAACCCAGCCCACACCAGGTGCTCCATAAATACATGTTCAGGGTGTGAATGAATGAGTGGATGCCCTTCACCTCTGACTACTTGGTGTAACAGCCAGAGACATAAGCAGGCCCTGATGGCTTTGCCAGACCTGGGCCACCACCCCCACAAAATTCCAGGACCGTTATCCGAGCAGCGTTGACAGGGAGGGAACGTCCCTGCCCGAGGTTAAAGATAGCACTGCTCGGAGTCACATCACAGGCCAAAAAGGCAAGATGACCAGCCCAGGGACATTAAATCCGTGTCCCGAGAGAGAGGTTGCGTGGGGGTGTGGATTCCTGTGGGGAGACCTAATTGGGAAAGGGTGTTCCCACCAAGCAATCCGTGAAACCTATTGGGCAAGACCCAGCCCAAATGTGGGCGGCACCCCAGTGAAGGGCAGGGAGAATGTTCCCTGCTGGCCCTGGCTCCTATGTTCCGGTGAGTTATAGAGGACGAACTTCAGAACTGGGCAGGACATCAAAATGCCCCCTATCCTGTGCCCTTATGTCCTTTATTAAAGGCTGCCTTTGAGAATCTGTCAATTTAATAGACATTTAAATATGAATCAGTGGCTCAGTGCCTATAGCTCAAGGGGCTAAGGTGCCAGCCACATACACCAGAGCTGGCAGGTTCGAATCCAGCCTGGGGCTGCCAAACAATGACAACTACAACCAAAAAATAGCCAGGAGTTTGAGGCAGCAGTGAGCTGTGATTGTGCCATGGCACACCAACCTGGGCGATACACCAAGACCCTGTCTCTAAAACAAAGGAGGAGGGGTAGTTTAAGAAAAGGCTGTGGCTCAAGCGGCTAAGGCACCAGCCACATACACCTGAGCTGGTGGGTTCAGATCCAGCCTGGGCCTGCAAAACAATGACGGCTGCAACCAAAAAGTAGCTGGGCATTGTGACAGGCACCTATAGTCCCAGCTACTTGGGAGGCTGAGGCAAGAGAATCGCTTGAGCCCAGGAGTTGAAGGTTGCTGTGAGCTGTGATGTCACAGCACTCTATCCAGGACAACAATTTGAGGCTCTGTCTCACAAATAAATAATGAATTAGTAATAATAGTACTGAATATTGATTTATCAATTGTGTTTATTAATATCTATGAAAGCAATTGTCTTGATCAAATATCACCTCCCCCATGAGGCCTTCCTGGATTATCCAAAATGCAGTCATAGGAACCCTCCACACAGCCCCCCCCCCTTTTTTTTTTGCAGTTTTTTTGACCAGGGCTGGGTTTGAACCCGCCACCTCAGGCATATGGGGCCGGCGCCCTACTCCTTTGAGCCACAGG